TGCTGTCACCCATCTGACTTTTGCTGTCAGTTCCTCCAGACTGAGCAGAGAGGATCAATGACTGGGATTTTTTTACTAGAGCATTGCTATTAATTGTTTTTTATTACCATTATTCATATAAATTGTGTTACTTGCAGAGGGAAAATCACCTCCTCACTGCAGCGTGTCCAAGGAATCTGATCCCCAGGCATCCTCCTTGGAAGGGTGTTCCTGCCCTAGTGTTGTACTCAAACCCAGTAATTCAGCAAAAAATACAGTGTTACAGATTTACTGTAATTAGATATCGTGGAAGTGATTTAATAATGAACATTTTCCTCACCTAATTATTGTCTAATTGTGAGGACACTCAGTCAAATTGTGGGAAGCTGCCTGGGAATGTTGCTGCTGAGGAGTGGAAACCTCTGTGGAGTGACTAAAAATGTCACTTAGTGCAGGTTCCCCACAGAGCCAGGCCATCCCTGGGTGCCCTTGCCCCTCATTTCCCCGAGGATGGGCTCACACTTCCCATAGCAGATTTTACTTGAGAGAAGCTTTTTTTTTTTTATATCCACATTTTGCTGGGACACTGAGCTGGGCTCAGAGGCCTGGGAACCACCTTTAACTGTTCATTCTCTCTCTTGCATTGGAATCCCCAGTCAGGACAGAACATTCCAGATTTGTCCCCGTGAGTGCTGAGCAGGGGGAATTCCTGAGAAATGCTGGGAAATTCTGTCTGATGCAGACCACGGACCTTCATCCCTGCCAGGGAGCACTCCAGGATCTACTGGAGAACACCTGGAATGAGAGAAAAACTCTGTCTCCAGAGCTTTGCAGTGCTCAGGCTGTGGGGAAATGAAGGATTTCACCATCCCAAGGGTTGAATTTGCCTCTGGATGAGGTTCTGGCTGACCTGAGTTGCCCCGAAGGGCAGCCCTGCCCTCCTGCCTCTGCCACGTGGAGCTGTGTGGAAACCTGCTCAGGGACATCCTGCCACCCTGGCCACAGCTGGACATCTCCACTCAGTTTATTTTACCTCTCACACCTGAAATGTTGGAGTTATAAATAATTTTGGATGTGTCGAAATGGATGCATGTCCAGAATGAGGAGATGGTGAAATTCTGCTTAAAAGCACAGGATAAAATCCTCTAAAATCTCTAGGTGGAATGAATCCCCTTCAAGCTTTGATAATCCTCCAAAAATACTGAGATGACAATGGTACCTGACCAAATAAATATGGTCTGGGGCAAACCTGAGCAGAGCTGGGCAAATCTCAGCTGGGCAGGGGAGGTAAAAGGGCAGAGAAGAAGAGAGATCTTCTTCTGGATTCTTCTTCTCTTTTCTTACAGCATCTGTGAGAGATCCTGGAAGATCCCAGCCAAGCAAAGTGTAAACACAGGGCTTGTGCCAGAGGCACATTTCTTGAAGGGAAGGAGCCTCCCATCATTTGTTTTGGGTTTTTTTTTTGTTTGTTTGTTTGGTTGGTTTTTTTTTTTTGTTTTTTTGTTTTGTTTTCTTGGTGGTGTTTTTTTTGGTTTTTTTTTTTTTTTTTTTTTGGGTTTTTTTTTTTTTTTTTTTTTGGGGTTTTTTTTTTTTTTTTTTTTTTTCCCCAGGATGTGTCCAGGGAGATGGAGGAGTCTGTAAATAAATAAGAGAACACCGAGGTTGTGCCTGACCCTTCTCACTTTGTTCCTCAGACTGGCAGACGTGACCCTGCAGGACCATGGACTTTGCCCAGGTGGCAAAACGTGTCACAGTGCTTCTCTCTCTGCTGAGGGGATTCAGGGCCTTTTCTTCCCTCCCTGTTCATGAAAACCAGGAGTATTTGCATTGAATAAAATGGAGTTTACTCAGCAGAAACAAGAATGAGATCAGAGTATTGATACTGAGGTAGCTGAAGTAGGTCCAGGAGCAAAACCCACCTGATGCTGCCATTTTCTGTTACAAACCACAGAACAGTTCTGAGGGGATTGAGAATGGATGTGGCATCTGAAAATTAAATGGTGAGCTTCTCCTCATATGCTGCTACAGCACATTTACAAAGAATATCAATATTCTCTTGGCTGAACAGGTATTTTATGTAACTTTTCCTTAAGCATCACAGTCACAATATAGGACAGGCTGTGTTCATCAGGCTGGTTTATTTCCCTTTCCAGTTACTAGAGATATTATAGAGAAAATGAATAAACCCAAAGAGAAACAAATAATAAACAGGGGAGCTTCAAGTACTCTTTTTTACTCTTGGGTGTAATTGGGGATTTTATCCTTAGGAAACAAAATTCTTCTTCCAGCAAATACTCTGGAGTGACTTCAGTGCCCTGCTCACATCTTCCCCATCCCTTTTCTCCATGTCCTCGTGCTCTGCACTGAGGATAATTGTGGATGTCTGTCATATGTTTAAACAAAAGCTTTGTTTGGCAACCTTTCTTTTTCTGCTGCAGCTGCAAAATTGTGTGCACAGTGTGTTAATTTTTTACCTTTGATGCTATGGGAAGGGTTTTTTTCCCTAATGAAAAAAAAAGGAAACCAATGAATGAGATCCCAATCTCTCCTGATCCGCACAAAACATGTGAAGGCAGCAACTTCCTTAGAAAACAATAGTAAATGAATGCTGAGACCAGGGTGAAATAAGCTGGATACTTCCTGGAAGCAAATTACTCCTCATAACATGGCAAAACACAGACATAAAATGCAAGAGACTGAAAAAAAAAAAAAAAAGAGCATGAAAATGTGAGGAAATAAACCAACAAAGAAATCCCTTGTTTTATTTGGGACAGCAGACTAACAGGGCAACAGGGGGTATTTTCTCCTGTAAAATTAAAAACATCAAATTATATATTAGCAACCTGAAGTTCTCAGTTGCTTTTATTTGAAAACAGGAAATTAAGAATGGATTTGTTGTAGGCACTTGAGCAAATTATCATGGTTTAAATCAGAATAAACCTTCAAGTGCATCAAGTTCTTCTTGGCATTTGCTCATAGGCAGACTTATCCCAGGGTGAAGTGAAGCCCTCATTCACTAAATGTGCATTACATTGAATTTCTTTCAGTTATTGCAGAAATAGTACTGGGAGCTCCGTTTTGGCAGCAGCTGAGGCTCAGGAGATTGTGAAGCACAGGAAGCAATTACCCTTTGGTCTGTCACTCATTGGTACTGGGAATGAAGGACAAAAAAGCCAAATCTGGCCCTTCAGATTTAGCAGAAAAATCCTTTTCCTCCTGCTGTTCCCAGTGTTTCCAGTCAGACTTTGTGCTGCATGAAGTGTTTGTCCTTTCTGGCTGTGCAGTCTCAAGGAAACACGGGGTAAACCAGGATAAAGGAGACTTTCTATGATTTATTGGTGTCATTCATACTTTTAAAATGAAATGCTCCCTGGTTTGGAAAAAAAATCCAAACTCATTTCTCTGGTAAAGAGGGAAAAACTCTTCCAAGGGATGAAGTAATTGTGGATTCTCAGCTGCTGGATCAGGGTGGACTGGCAGGAGGAGGTGCTGCAGCCTCCCTTGGGATAAATTGTTTTATTTGTTTATTCTGCTGTTATCTCTGATCACAGCCGCAGACATCAGCTGGATCCTGCCAGTATTTCCTGCAGTTAATTTGAGCTAAATTAACTTTGGGTAAATACCATAACTGTTTTATGACAATGAAAGATTTATGTTTGTGTTGGGAAATGATTCATGGCTCTCTAGAGGAGAAACACCTCACACCTCCAGCAAACAGGAGTTAATAATCTTTGGGATGGCAATAGTACAAAAATATATGAAAACAGGGCAGCTTTTACATCGGGCTGGTTTAGGATGGCAACAGCTTTTACCAGCAGCTGGAACACAGATATTTGTATCCCTGTTTTTCCAGCTGGGACCTGCAATTCCTTGAGTCCAGCAGAAACTCTTTAGCAAAACTGTTGCAGGGCAAATCGGTGCAGCAAAGCGTGAAATAATCCAGTGTGAAAAGTCAGATTCTAAATAGTTTAACCTTTGAACTGCCTAATCTGCTTGTGAAGGGGGAGAACGTGGTAAATAAATCAACAGGCTCAGCTGAGCACTCCCAAAGCTGCATGAGGGAGCAATTTCCCAACACACCAGGCCTGCAGGTGTCTGGAGAACGACTTACAGCTGAGCCAGAGTGGATTCAGCTGTGTGACATGGCACTGGAGAACCCCATCAGGCATCTTATTTAGGAGTTTTTATTTGTCTTATTTAAGGAATGTTTTAATGCAGAAGTCTGAAAGTTGCTGCTGGCTATGGTGAAGCTGAAAAGTGAAGTGTGGTTGGTCTTTATTGGGCAACACTGTGCTATATAAAGACATAAAACCGTCAAATCTTTGTCCTCTTTCAGAGCCGTTTGCATACGCTTCCTCCATGCTTCTTTTTTTGGGGGCTTTTTGCATATTTTTATCATCCCCAGAAGGTTCATGGCGCGTTCCCCACCTTCGCCCAGCCCTCCTGTTCTCACGGCACACACAGGAGTGACAGAGGAGCGAGGCTGATGAGCCAATTTAGCAAATTCCCACTTCTGCCTGCTGCTCAGCGTGCTCTGGGCACGGTGACATTTCTGTCCTGAGCACCGCGGTGACATCCAGCTCACGTTTCTGTCCTGAGCACCGCGGTGACATCCAGCTCATCCCAACTCCATAACCGGGAGCTGGTGGAGGGGGTGGAATCTGATGGAAGGAGCAGATGATGGTAAAGGTGTGAATGATTTTCGAGGTGCAGATTCCTGTTTAATCTGCCAGCTCTGCTGGCCGAGTTCTGCCCTGGAGGTGTTCCAGGAATTCCTGAGGTGGCACTCAGAGCTCTGGGCTGGGGACAAGGTGGGGATAGGGCACAGGTGGGACTCGATGATCCCGGAGCTCTTTCCCACCCTCAGTGATCCTGTGATTCCGTGATTCCCTGACTACACTTCCCGGCACGCCCCGCGCCACCCGCGCGTACTACAGGTCCCGTCGTGCTCCTGCGGGGGCGCGCGCGCTGCCCTCTGGGACTCGTAGTCCGGTCCCCGCTGCGGCGCCTCGGCGGGGAAGGGCGGGGGCATCGCGCGCGCGGGCGCGGCGCGTGCGCGGCGCGGGGCCCCGGGCCGGATCTCTCGCGAGGAAGGACGCCATTATCGCAGCCGCCGCACAAAACACCACGAGAACTCGGCGCCCGCCTCACACGGTAACGCGGCGCCCCGCGGGCGGGAGCCTCCGCTACGCGGCCACCCCCGGCCGCCCGCACGGCCCCGCACGGGGACACCGAGCACACACCGCGCACCCGCCGGGCTCCCCGGGCCGCGAGCCGGCGGGGAGGGAGCGGCCGAGGCGGGGGGGCCGCGCGCCCCCCTCCGCCTCCCTCCCCCCCCATCGCTCTCATGGGGGTCGCCCGTGATTCGAGATCGGGGAGAAAATCCTCCCCGTGAGGGCGCTGAGGCCCTGGCACGGGGTGCCCGGAGCTGCTGTGGCTGCCCCTGCATCCCTGGCAGTGCCCAAGGCCAGGCTGGACAGGGCTCGGAGCAGCCTGGGATGGTGGAAGGTGTCCGTGCCATGGCACGGGTGGAACGGGATGAGCTCTCGTGTCCCTTCCACCCAAAGGTTTGGCGCTGCCCCGCTCCGGGGCTCGGCTCTCCAGTGCCGGGCTCGGTGTCCCGCCGTCCCCCCGGGATGTGTTTGGAGCCGGGCGAGGCTCGGGCTGGGCTGGGAGCGCTCCTCCACGCCGTGCCCTGGTGCAGCAGGGACAGGGACAGGGACCAGCCCCGTGTGTGCTCATTCAGTGCCTGACGGGGATTTCCACGTCCATAGCAGGCTTGGTGCTTTCTATCCTCTCCATTCCAGCCAGTTGTTTTGACATTGAGTGCTTTCGATGGGATATTGAGAAGGAATTCTTCCCTGTGCGGGTGCCGAGGCTCTGGCACAGCTTTCCCTGGAGCTGCCCCTGCATCCCTGGCAGTGCCAAGGCCGGGCTGGACAGGGCTCGGAGCAGCCGGGGCTGGTGGAAGGTGTCCCTGCCCATGGATGGGGGTGGAACGAGATGAGCTTTAAGGTCCTTTCCCACCCGAACTATTCCAGGATTCTCTCAACACACTCGGTATCCCTATACCCTTATTTGCAATTCAAGTGTTGCCTTCTTTTTCTCCCCCCCCCCCGCCCTTTTTTTTTTTTTGTTTTATTTTTAAATCCATCCACAGTGGCAAGTTGTGTACTTCACCAAATATAGTCATTTTATCCTGCTATGGCACGGATAGTTTATGGATCAGTTTATTTTTGGAGCTCTCCAGGGAAGACTTTTTTGAAGTAAACAAGGGTTATTAGCAACTGAGAGATTGCTTTGGTGGAAGCAGCTTTACAATGATATTTTGAAGTGTTTTTTGGTGCTTTTGTGCCTTCTGTGTGAGGTTACCTGAGGTGTGGTGCCCTGTCAATACCAAGATTTCAAGAGGCAAACCTGATATTCATATAACTTCAAATATTTCAACCAAGATTTTAAAATATCAAACAAAAAAGTGTTTGAATTTCATAGCAGTGACTCTTGAAACAGAGAGTTTTCTCTGTTAGGAAGTTTTTGGATATATCATTATATATATATTAAGTAGTTGTTTCTAGAAATGCACCAGAATAACAAGACTTTGATTCTCCCCATCATTAAATGGAAGTAGATCCATTTTCAGTAATAGATGTTAGGAAGAAAGATTAATTAATTTATTGAGAGAATAAAAGGATGGAGGTTGGATTTGGGAAACATTCCATCTTCTCCAGAGGACACAAACATTTTAGAACTTTGTTTTTTCAATTTATCATCTTTTCTACAGCTGGGTTTTCTGTCTGAGTCACCCAGCTGTGTGAAAGTTGTGTGGTTCCAGAGCAGGTGTTGATTAAGGTTCTTTTAAAGGACTAATTGATTAATAACATCCAGAGTAATTTAATAAAACCATTAAGGGTGTGGTGCTAATTAGCAATGCTCACAGCTGCAGCTTCCAGAGGCACCTGCTCCAAGAAATAAGTTTGGAAAAGGCTCCTTTCCTGCCTGTGCTGCTTTTACCATCCTTTTTCTGGAATTTGGGGTGATCAGGTGAGGAGAATGAGCTTTTAGTCAAGCTCAGAGCTGCTGATTGTGGCTTTACCTTGGCTTGGGAAGGAGTTGGGGTGTCCCATGGGATTCACACCCAGGGAATTCCAGGGAGAGGCTCCTGTTGGCCAGGACTTGAATTTGCCTCTGGTTTTTCTCTTGAGCTTCCCCCTCATCTTGTGAAGCTTGCTAGGTGCAGGAACAACACACGGCTTTAATGTGTCAGAATTCCAGGGTTTTCCTTCTTTTTGTTAGAATTTCCAGGGTTTTCATCTCTTTCCTTGAAGGAGCCCTGGAATTGGAGTTGCTGGGATTGAGCCGCTTTTAGGAGGAGACAGAGCAAAGCCAGTGGTTGGAATTAAAACCACAAAATGTCTTTGTATGCAGAACTTTGCCAATAAAATTTTGGTCACATTCTTTTTGTTAGAATTCCAGGGTTTTCCTTCATTTTGTCAGAATTCCAGGGTTTTCCTTCTTTTTGTTAGAATTCCAGGGTTTTCCTTCATTTTGTCAGAATTCCAGGGTTTTCCTTCTTTTTGTTAGAATTTCCAGGGTTTTCATCTCTTTCCTTGAAGGAGCCCTGGAATTGGAGTTGCTGGGATTGAGCCACTTTTAGGAGGAGACAGAGCAAAGCCAGTGGTTGGAATTAAAACCACAAAATGTCTTTGTATGCAGAACTTTGCCAATAAAATTTTGGTCACAGGTTGATTTCCTTTAGTTTAAGCCTTGATATTTAGTTATTGACAGTTGAAATAACCTTATTTTCTTTCTTATCCATATCATTGAAAGGATAATCATCACCTTTTATTTTTTTTTCCTTTCCCAAGTAAAATAAAAGGAATAAAATGTCTTCACAGTCACATAAAGCACTTGTTTCCTTGCAGGTTTAGGTTTTTAAAGGTGCTGGAAAATAGTGAATTTTGCAACCAGTTAGACTGAAAAACGTACAAAAGGCTTAACTTCATCACACCCTTGGTATGTGGGACTTGAAATAAAATAATTTGTGGTGGTGTCTGTTGAACAGAATCATTTGATGTTGCTTCCTGTTTGTAACCCCTGACTTAGAGCACTTCAGGGAAGAATATATTCAGTTCAAACCTCTGAAAATCCGAGTTTTACCGTGGAGAAGAATGGAGGGAATTGATGGCAGTGGGGAGTTCCCCTTCCCATCCCTGCTCCTCAGGTACAGACAGACCAACCTGATCCTCTCTAGCACCCTCTCAACTGAAGCTTTGGGGAGTTTGAAGCTGAATTTAGTTGGGATTTGTCTTTTAATTACAGGGAGGGGAGCTGCCAAGCCTGGATCAGGTGGTGTAAATGAAAATTCAAAATTTGGAGGCAGGATGGGGGGGTCAGGCTCTGCTCCCAGGGAACAGGGACAGGAGCAGAGGGAACGGCCTCAGGCTGGGTCAGGGCAGCTCAGGGTGGACAGCAGCAGGAATTTCCCCATGGAAAGGGGGGGGTCAGGGATTGAAGTTTGGAGTGCCCATCCCTGGAGGTGTCCCAGGAATTCCTGAGGTGGCACTCAGAGCTCTGGGCTGGGGACAAGGTGGGGACTGGACACATCTGGGTGAGATGCACGATTCCAGAGCTCTTTTCCACCCTCAGTAATCCTATGAAAACAGTTCAGATTTTGAAGAACTGCTCATATCATGTTTTCCTACTGAAATGATGCTCTTCAGTTTATTTTCATTAATATTTTTGGTAAGAATTTGAAAATCCTGCTATCTCTCTGTTGTGCAGCAGTGCTAAGGTCTGGTTTGGCAGCTGGAAAGGCTTTTTTCCTTGATGCCTGAAGCAGGAAAATCCATTAGAAGATTTTGGAGTGAGCAGGTTGTATTTGGTGTTGGCTTTCCTGCTTTTTTGTAGTAGCAGCAGCCTGTGCCAACACTGGGGGCTGTCCTTGTCTCCTCTGGAATTGCCAAATCAGAAACTTTTTCCAGTGTATTGAGGACTAGCAGTGCACATATTAGGAAAAAATGAGAAAAAACCATAAATTATTATTCCCTTTTGTTGCTAAAGGTAAGCTGCCAGGCCAAGAGAGGATGGCCCTAGAGAAGGAGGGATAAGTGGGATATTGGGAATGAATTCCTCCCTGTGGGTGGGGAGCCCTGGCACAGACTCCCAGGGAATTGTGGCTGCCCCTGGATCCCTGGCACTGCCCAAGGCCAGGCTGGACACTGGGGTGGTGGAAGGTGGATGAAACTAATCCTGGAATTTTCAATTTCCTGGAATAATGGAATGGCCTGAGCTGGAAGGACCCACAGGGTTCCTCCAGTCCAGGGCATTCCCAAATTCCCACCCTGGGCATCCCTGGCAGCGCTGTCCAACCTCTCCCGGAGCTCTGGCAGCTTTGGGGCTGTGCCCATTCCCTGGGGAGCCTGGGCAGTGCCAGCACCCTCTGGGGGAAGAACCTTTCCTGATATCCACCTAAACCTGCCCTGGAAGTCCTTGCAGGATTTTTGGAGCTGTTCCCAATAAAAATCCTCCATCTAGTGGCTGAAAACAAGAAAACAGCGGGACGGGATTTGCTGTCTGGGCAGGTCTGCTCTCACATTTGCTGCTTTTCAGCAAACCCTACAAATTGTGCGTGCTGTGAATGATCCCTGTCGGGAACGATCCCACCAGGATCCAGAATTCCAGCCTCTGCCTTAAGGCCTGCAGTCTGCAAGCACTTAGCTCCTTGCCCGGGGTTGGGCTGCGGAGTTCAAGGGGATTAAATGGCTGTAAATTGAATTCAGGCTCCGTGTGTGTGCAGGCACCTGGAAGCAGAGCTGGGACACGTGTGAACATTTCCTGCCCAGCTCCTGGGGAATAATCCCATGCAGGCAGTGCCAGAGGGGGCTGGCACACGGCAGCGGGGTTTGTACAGGATCCACAGGGAATTTGGGCTGGAATTGCCGCTTTGTGTGACCACCCACTGCCATTCCTCGTGCCTGGGAGGACACTGGGAAGCAGGGAAGGCATTCCTGGGTTATTTGTTGGGTGTTGTGTTAGGGTTGGTGCCAGGGTTAGAAGAGTTGGGAAAAGACATCCAAGCAAAACAGCGCCTTGTACCAGGTGGAACGAAAAAAAAAACCCTAAAAAGCAAATATTTCTAAAAGCAAAACAATAAA